AGCATGCAAGATAAAGAACTATTTCAACTACTGGGTCATCTTTGTCTTCTCCAACGTCGATCTGAAACAGATACGGTGGCAAACAGATCAATAAAGAGCAATTAAAATTAATTATATCAAGTATCCTCACCTTAATTAATTATAGAACGTAACACTCCAAAGTTTACAGGTGTGAAAAGTAAACCAACTCAAGGAGGAATACTGTAGCAGAGAATTTCTTATTTCAGTGGAATTCAAATAAATATCCAGTTGCACTCGTTCATGGGTCGAAAATTTACTGCATGACGTTACAAGGCGAAGACGAATCAGCAAATCAAGAATATAATCCAGGAAAGACCACACCGATGTAGACACGGGCTGATTCAGTATAACCAAAATGAACATTAATTCTCTCTCATTTATTGTATAACCTGCAGAAATGGACAAAAAAACATTTTAATTACACTTATAATTAAGAAACACAAATAAAAACGCATCAAAAAGCAAGTAAAATAGCTGAATTAATAAAATAAACAAACAACTTTACGCCATTTTACATCACAACCATAAATCTCGACATAGATTAACGTCAAATAACACGACAATTTACGACACAGACAACAGAATAAGGTTAACAGAAAATCCATAGATAGATAAACTTCATAGATACATAAACCCTATAGATAAAACGATAAATATCAATTTATTCTGTGGCAAATAAGTACTGTCAAGTGATAAGGATGCACATTAACCTCAATTTATACTGTTGACGATAGATAATCGTTAACAGAAATTCCATAACAGATTAATAAAGAATAATTAATATTGATCAAGTTATGTATTCTCACCTTAATTAATTGCAGGAAATGGCGTTCTAAAGTCTAACAGTGTGATGAGCTAATCAACCAAATCTAGGAGAGATACTGATACTACTGCAGATAATTTGTTGTTCCGCTTGGATCCAAATTAATTAATTATTAACTAATTCATTTAATAGATATCTGTTACGTCAAAATTTAATCCTCTTCACTTTTCTCCCTTACTTTCAAATAAAAGTCAAAATATATGCGGAAAATTCATAAAAAAAAAGAAACACTCGTACTAAACAAATGAAGCATGAAGTAAAACAAAAACACGTAATAAAAAACCAGTCAAAAACGAATAAAATAACAAAATATTAAAAATGGCGACGTGTTCACCTGATGTCTGTGTCAAGATATAAACTTTAAAAGTTTTGTCAATTTAATTGATGCTGTGGTCAAATACGATGAATAATAATAGAATATGAATCAATCAAACCAAACAACTATTTCAACTTCTGGGTCATCTTTGTCTTCTCCAACGTGGATCTGAAACAGATACGGTGGCAAACAGATCAATAAAGAGCAATTAAAATTAATTATATCAAGTATCCTCACCTTAATTGATTATAGAACGTAACACTCCAAAGTTTACAGGTGTGAAAAGTAAACCAACTCAAGGAGGAATACTGTAGCAGAGAATTTCTTATTTCAGTGGAATTCAAATAAATATCCAGTTGTTCTCACTCATGGGTTGAAAATTAACTGCATGATGTTACAAGGCGAAGACGAAACAGCAAATCAAGAATATAATCCAGGAAAGACCACACCCTTGCAGACTTGGGCTGTTTCAGTATAACCAAACTGCACATTAATTCTCACTCATTTATTGCATAACCTGCAGAAATGGACAAAAAAAATATATTAATTACACTTATAATTAAGAAACACAAACAAAAACGCACCAAAAAGCAAGTAAAATAGCTGAATTAAAAAATAAACGAACAACAACTTTACGCCATTTTACATCACAACCATAGATCACGAAATAGGTTAACGTCAAATAACACGACATTAATTTACGACATAGATAACAGAAAACGGTTAAAAAGAAAATCCATAGATAGATAAACTCCATAGATATATCGATGATAAATGTCAATTTATTCTGTGGAAAATAAAAACTGTCAAGTGATATTGATGCACAATAACCTCAATTTATATTGTTGACAATAGCTAATTGTTAACAGAAATTTCATAACAGATTAATAAAGAGTAATAAATATCGATCAAGTCATTTACTCTTACCATAATTAATTGTAGTGAGAGGCGTTCTAACGTCTACTAGTGTGATGAGCAAAACCAACCAAATCTAGAAGCGATACCACTGCATATAATTTGTTTTTTCGGTTGCTTCCAAATTAATTAATTTCCAATTTCCTCCCATTGTTACGGCAAAAATTAACTGCATAATGTTGCAAGGTGAAGCCGTAAAAAGTATCGGTTGTTTTAGTAGCACCAAAATTAACTGCAATTCCTTCTCACTTGTGGGACAACAATCTATATAGAAACAGGCAAAAAAAAGTAATTAATTACCATTTTTAAATCGAATAAATCAGTATAAATCAGTAACATGCACTAATGGAAAGATCTGTTCCACATTAATTCTGCTTCTTCCATTTCTGAAACGTTGTTTAAAAGTTGTTTATTGAAGCAAGTTACAAGAAGAAGAAGCAAGATATCATTTACTATTTTTAACTGATACTGTTACATACCAGTTCATTGTCATAAATCCTTTTTTTAGCACACTCTCTTCGTTCCCAATGAAAAAAAAGGCACTTTCATGCTTGCTTTACAACCATAGGCACAGCTACTTTCCGAGGCAAATGAAGACTAATGTAACCAATGCTCCAAAATTTCATAATTTAATGGTATCCAGAGTTCTTCTAATGTACCTGTAAAATGAAATCTTATGAAAAAGTGTTCAGACATAATTAATCAAGTATTAAGTAAATAATGTGCAGGATACATTGTTATAGTATGCATGCTCACCTTAATTAACTAAAAGAGCCTCCAAGATGAAAAATTAACCATAGGAGACGACTTATCTTTTCAGTAAGGAAAGGATATCAGTTCCAATCTCTCACAGTTGTTGGCTAATCTGTGTAAACAAACAAAAACAATTATTAACCAATTAATTTAATAGATATCTGTTACGCAGAAAATTTAAATATTTAATCCTCTTCACTTTTCTCCCTTTCTCTCAAATGAAAGTCAAAATATATGCGGAAAATAGTTAAAAAAAAAAGAATTAAACACTCGTATTAAATAAATAAAACATGAAATAAAACAAAAACACGTAATAAAAAACCAATTAAAAGCCAATAAAATAACAAAACATTAATAATGGTGTCGTAGCCACCTGATGTTTGAAGATATAACCCTTAACAATTTTGTCAAATTAATTTATGCTGTGGGCAAATACGAATAATAGTAATAGAATGTGAATCAATCAAACTAACAACTAACCTTTCAGACGAAGAACAAATTAAAACTAATAGCTCGATAAGTTGAATTTAAGAGACGCGAAAACACGTCCTTCCACCTCGAAANTTTGGTAGAGAAGATCGGACAGATTTCGCCAAGGCAAGCTGGGCAGTCGCCTATTGCTCCTATTCCAGATAACCCACTGTACCCTGTCTGAAAGGAAGTAACGCTAGAGTAGACTCGCGAAAAGTGTATAAGACACTTTTAAGATCAACTAAATAGCTAAGCCCAAGGGAAGTCGTTCGGGGAGGCCCTCCCTAATTCCACAAGGGTGAGAAGAAACACACACGATAACGAAACGTTGAATCATGTAGAACTCGTAGGGTAAATGCAAAGCAAATTAGGAAGAATATGCAGTAAGCTAAGCGAAGAGGTAAGCAAGAGACACGTTAGACTACACTACAACTACTAAACGAGTTAGTGCTACTACTACACTACATAACACTACTACTACATACAAAAAAAAAACAAAAGAATCTACAATCAACAATTACTTCAAACAAAAAGAAAAAAAATAAGCATGCAAAACAAAAACTAAATCAAATTAACTATAAGAAACTACAAGAAACTACAAAAAAACAACAAAAACATGCAAAATAAAAAAATAATTTGAATAAAACGAACTTAATAAATTCTACTAGATAGAGCATGCAAGGTAAAGAGACTATTTCAACTACTGGGTCATCTTTGTCTTCTCCAACGTCGATCTGAAACAGATACGGTGGCAAACAGATCAATAAAGAGCAATTAAAATTAATTATTTTAAGTATCCTCACCTTAATTAATTATAGAACGTAACACTCCAAAGTTTACAGGTGTGAAAAGTAAACCAACTCAAGGAGGAATACTGCAGCAGAGAATTTATTATTTCAGTAGAAGTCAAATAAATATCCAGTTGCACTCCCTCATGGGTCGAAAATTTAAAAATTTAATCCTTTTCACTTTTCTCCCTTACTCTCAAATAAAAGTCAAAATATATGCGGAAAATTCATAAAAAAAAAAAGAATTAAACACTCGTTATTAAACAAATGAAACATGAAGTAAAAAAAAACACGTAATAAAAACAGTCAAAAACGAATAAAATAACAAAACATTAAAAATGGCGACGTGTCCACCTGATGTCTGTGTCAAGATATAAACTTTAAAAGTTTTGTCAATTTAATTTATGCTGTGGGCAAATACGAAGAATAATAATAGAATATGAATCAATCAAGCCAAAGAACTATTTCAACTACTGGGTCATCTTTGTCTTCTCCAACGTCGATCTGAAACAGATACGGTGGCAAACAGATCAATAAAGAGCAATTAATATTTTGTCAATTTGTTGTGGGCAAATACGGAGAATAATAATAGAATATGAATCAATCAAACTAACCTTTCAGACGTAGAATAAATTAAAAGTAATTTTGCGAAAAAATTAGCTGGATAAGTTGAATTTAAGAGACGCGAAAGCACGTCCTTCCACCTCGAAACTTTATGAACTTATGATGTGCCAAACGCTCTTTATTGATCTGTTTGCCACCGTATCTGTTTCAGATCGACGTTGGAGAAGACAAAGATGACCCAGTAGTTGAAATAGTTCTTTGGTTTGATTGATTCATATTCTATTCTTATTCTTCGTATTTTCCCACAGCATAAATTAAATTGACAACTTTTAAAGTTTATATCTTGACACAGACATCAGGTGGGCACGTCGCCATTTTTAATGTTTTGTTATTTTATTCGTTTTTGACTGGTTCTTTATTACGTGTTTTTGTTTTACTTCATGTTTCATTTGTTTAATACGAGTGTTTAATTCTTTTTTTTTTGTCAATTTTCGGCATATATTTTGACTTTTATTTGAGAGTAAGGGAGAAAAGTGAAAAGGATTAAATTTTTAAATTTTCGACCCATGAGCGAGTGCAACTGGATATTTATTTGACTTCTACTGAAATAATAAATTCTCTGCTGCAGTATTCCTCCTTGAGTTGGTTTACTTTTCACACCTGTAAACTTTGGAGTGTTACGTTCTATAATTAATTAAGGTGAGGATACTTAAAATAATTAATTTTAATTGCTCTTTATTGATCTGTTTGCCACCGTATCTGTTTCAGATCGACGTTGGAGAAGACAAAGATGACCCAGTAGTTGAAATAGTCTCTTTACCTTGCATGCTCTATCTAGTAGAATTTATTAAGTTCGTTTTATTCAAATTATTTTTTTATTTTGCATGTTTTTGTTGTTTTTTTGTAGTTTCTTGTAGTTTCTTATAGTTAATTTGATTTAGTTTTTGTTTTGCATGCTTATTTTTTTTCTTTTTGTTTGAAGTAATTGTTGATTGTAGATTCTTTTGTTTTTTTTTTGTATGTAGTAGTAGTGTTATGTAGTGTAGTAGTAGCACTAACTCGTTTAGTAGTTGTAGTGTAGTCTAACGTGTCTCTTGCTTACCTCTTCGCTTAGCTTACTGCATATTCTTCCTAATTTGCTTTGCATTTACCCTACGAGTTCTACATGATTCAACGTTTCGTTATCGTGTGTGTTTCTTCTCACCCTTGTGGAATTAGGGAGGGCCTCCCCGAACGACTTCCCTTGGGCTTAGCTATTTAGTTGATCTTAAAAGTGTCTTATACACTTTTCGCGAGTCTACTCTAGCGTTACTTCCTTTCAGACAGGGTACAGTGGGTTATCTGGAATAGGAGCAATAGGCGACTGCCCAGCTTGCCTTGGCGAAATCTGTCCGATCTTCTCTACCAAA